AAATGTTTGCATAACCGTTGAAGATAAACTGTCTGGTCAGCTTCTTTTTTATTAGCTTCGATTTTTATCAAGTAATTATCAACAAATTCTATCGTTACTTGAATGGAACACCAAATAAATTGTTCTTAGATTAATTTTCGTTCAAACCGAGGATGTTGTTAGCAGATCCTGGACAGATTCTAACATGAACAGCTTACAAGATTCGAGACGATAAATAAATCAGTAAGGAAAATGGTTATTCTCTGTTTCGATAACCAAGCTGGGTTCGATACATTAAGTGCTACCAAATGAGTCCTATGCATATCGTGAGTCTGTTGGATGCTGCCTTCACATGTCCAAATTGTCTTGAAAAGGCAGAAAGTAAGTGATTTTTTTTCAATTGCAGATAACAACTTATAACTTTACTTTTAAACCGGTTCTTAGACTAGGGACACGTTTTCAAAACCATATTAATTTCGCAATCCTTTATATTTTCTTTATTTTTACAGTAAATAATAATATTTATAAAACTAATATCTTTTTTCAGATATGTATATATATAAATGACGAATGTAGTGCTACGAAAGCTTTTCACTTCTTTTTTGTTTTTTATTATACCAGGTATTTAATAAAACGTAAATTGTGTCTCATATATTCAGTACCGTTACTATATCCCCCTACTGGGTTCTTGATGTGAAAAACTCTGCTCTAATACAGTTTCGTGTCACAATAAGCCCCTGAATCTGCGACAATTATCGCGGTATACCGTAGGTAGGTCAGCACTGGTTGTTCAGCGGAAGAGCTCTTCGCGGCCCTATCTTTCCTTCCAACCTTGCTTTCTTACGCACAATCATATTGGTTAGTCTCAGTTATGGCAATTATAAATATGATACAATTCTGGGGACAGCGTTTGCCTCCTGAGAGACAGTTTTGTATAGCACCGCTGTACGTCGTGTCTAGACAATTGATTGCTTACGAGTTTCGGCCCCTCGAACCGTTACCTCAACTACCATGCAGACTAGCCTCGCCAGAAGAATTCCCAACCCTAGGATAGGGATAAGATAACATGTTAAATCTATATGTATATATTATATGTACCCAGAAACTAAGTTCGCCTAACTATCTCTTCAAATTGTTGCAATGCAAAAGATATTGGTAATTATGCAGAAAAAATTACTCTTTACCAAGTTTATAATCGATATATGCTGTAAAAAACTCAATGCTCTAAGCAACTTTTGCCCATACATGTAACCGGTGCTCGGGCTTAATTTTTGAGATATTTACAAAAAACTGTTGTGTTACTGCTACTACAATGAATCACGCAATACCTTGTCATTGGCAGCGTGTGTATCAGTATAGAACCGTCATTTATCTCTACTGCTTCATGCGTTATCCCGTTGCCCAGCAAGCAACCTTCCTAACGGGTGAACTTTTGTCAAGGAGGTAGCTTTTCTCTTCTACATACGAGCCGTTTATTTTGAAAGTGGCATAAGTCACTTTCTCAAAAAAATCGAGTTAATGGTAGCACTAATTACAATTGAACGGTATCTTTTCATTTAAAAAAAAAAAAGAAAAAAGTGACTTATGCCACCTTCAAAATAAATATATGTAAAAAATAGAGAACTTACGGTTTCCGACATATTTAATGTTACATTGCCGAATTTGAGAATTGTCGAAGTCGTTCCCGCGGTCGAGAGAAACTAATCAAACCAATGTAGTAGCGTAGTATCAATTTTTCGCGAATATTTCGCGAACTAGGCCCGAGTAGCAGTTGAATGTATAGGAGAAAAGTAGTTCGAACGTTGAGTTGTACAACATATTTAAATTCGATCGAAACCGGTCGGGAGTAACTTCTTACCAATAATANATATATTATATGTACCCAGAAACTAAGTTCGCCTAACTATCTCTTCAAATTGTTGCAATGCAAAAGATATTGGTAATTATGCAGAAAAAATTACTCTTTACCAAGTTTATAATCGATATATGCTGTAAAAAACTCAATGCTCTAAGCAACTTTTGCCCATACATGTAACCGGTGCTCGGGCTTAATTTTTGAGATATTTACAAAAAACTGTTGTGTTACTGCTACTACAATGAATCACGCAATACCTTGTCATTGGCAGCGTGTGTATCAGTATAGAACCGTCATTTATCTCTACTGCTTCATGCGTTATCCCGTTGCCCAGCAAGCAACCTTCCTAACGGGTGAACTTTTGTCAAGGAGGTAGCTTTTCTCTTCTACATACGAGCCGTTTATTTTGAAAGTGGCATAAGTCACTTTCTCAAAAAAATCGAGTTAATGGTAGCACTAATTACAATTGAACGGTATCTTTTCATTTAAAAAAAAAAAAGAAAAAAGTGACTTATGCCACCTTCAAAATAAATATATGTAAAAAATAGAGAACTTACGGTTTCCGACATATTTAATGTTACATTGCCGAATTTGAGAATTGTCGAAGTCGTTCCCGCGGTCGAGAGAAACTAATCAAACCAATGTAGTAGCGTAGTATCAATTTTTCGCGAATATTTCGCGAACTAGGCCCGAGTAGCAGTTGAATGTATAGGAGAAAAGTAGTTCGAACGTTGAGTTGTACAACATATTTAAATTCGATCGAAACCGGTCGGGAGTAACTTCTTACCAATAATAATGTCCCTTGAAACTATGTAAAAAATACTTTTTTACCGCAACAACTTGAAGAGATATTTACGTGATCTCGCTTAAATGGGTCATCCTGTATACAATTTGTTGAGTACGGTGTCACGTGCAAGACGTCACCTTACCTTTAAAAATATATCATAACATTCTGTCACCTCTTTTCTAATTCCTATTACGTCATTATGGTTTTCACATGGTCACATTTATCTTACTTCTGGGTCAGAAGTGGACATATTTGGCGTACGGTTCCTCCAGAATATTTGTATCTGTTCTAACATCATGTGTCTCGAAGTACAGTGAATTCTCCTCAATTGTCCCTCAGCTTCTAAACAAAAATGAACAATTTGGGAAGAGAAGATACGATTATTTGAGCCCCACAGCTCGTTTCTATAGCTGCCGATTGTCAACTATAAAAACGAACCGTAAGGCTCGACTAATCGTATCTCCTCCTTCCAAATTGTCTACTTTTATGTACAGGCTGACGGACAATTGGAGAGAATTTACTTCATTGTCTCTGAAGGTAATTCAGTACGCTCTCATAATAGAATTTACTGAAATGACATTAGGGGGCCGATCTTAACGCCCTGGGGACGTTTATAATAGTTCGAACTGAGCCTCGAGACAAGGAAATTTATAAATTAAACAAGAGCCGGCATCCAGTGATGATGTTGCACTTGTTTTGATTTCTTTAGCGTCCGAGGTCAAGTTCGATGCCCGTCTCGACATGGATCTTGTTTCACTTGACATTTTTATTCTATAATTATCAAAAGTGTTCCGATCGGAATACGTCATGCCTAAAATGTTAATTAAAATTTGGGAGTAAATAGTTCTTACAAAAATATTTCATAAATATCTTTATCAACCATTACACGATATTTTCAATAATTACAAAATAGTAGACCACAGAATACTTAAAATTGACAATGCATTATTAGAGTGTGATAGACGATGGCATCCACTGTAAAAGATAAAGCAGCTCAGGGTGTAGTCAACATATGGGCTACAATCATTATTACACAATTCTTCTTGCAATTATTGTCAAAGTGTCCTGGATGATTGAAAGTACAGATAAAAATTATAATTGTGATTTTGATGGTAAGAAAAATTATATCATAATAGGACTCTGTTCAGAAGTCTTCTGCAAGCCAGACTCCCCAAATCAGTGGCACATTTTCCACGGAGAGAAAACTTCTATAAAGACATTAATAACTTTAAAGATATGATATAAAAAATAAATAGAAATACAATATCTCTGACGGTATCATATACGGTATTTTTGACGTAGAGGTAGCATATATGTACAACGGCCACACCATTAGCCGCCTTACCTCTTATAACAGGGACATTATACATTTACATTGTCTACTCCGATCACTCGATTATCAAATTGTGTTATTAATACTCGTGAGTTGTGAGTAAAAAAAGCCGTAAAATCTTTCAATAATTTTACATCTAAAAAGTTTGATTTGTAGAAACTGTAAAAAAAATATAATTGATAATAAATTTTTGTATGAAGCAAGTATTGACATAAGTGTTATCTTTTAAACAAACAAAAATATCTGAAATTGTTTTACTCTGCCGGATTGCTTGTTGAAAAATTAATTTATAAACCATCGTTCCGATTGTAATCGTTTCCAAAATATTCAGTCACATCGGATTCTCACCCCCAACTTCGGGAGCTATTTCCATCCTTTCGATACAGAAAATGGTTGATGCAAAAAATTACGTGTCAAATATTTTTGTAAGAATTACTTCTTCCTAAAATTTAATTAAGATCCGCTGAAGTTATTTCAGTATATACCCTTGTTAGGGCAAAATACATTTCTTGCTCATGACATGACTGCTCAAAGAAGTTCGACTCGAGATACTCGATTCTCGAAGCATTCAATCATCTTTGTGTTCAAATATTATAACGTTCTTGCAAGCTTTCCACGCATATATTCGATTCTGTCTGCTCGTGAACCTATCGATATATACACTTCACATTTTTCGAAAAATCGAAAAATAACGATCTACTCGAGACATCCTATATATATATATATTTATATATATAAATATATATATATATACATATATATTCAATCTTAATTCCT